CGGGATCCGATAGCCCACGGCGGATGGGTTCGCCGGCGGCGTCGTCTCCGCCGGAGGCCAGGAGGTCGGAGAAGGAGGTGGTCATGAATGGGTGGGAGGGGAAGGTGAAGTTGGGGTATGAGTTCGCCGAGGTGTCTAAGCTCCCGGAGGAAGAGGCCATAAGAGAGAGAAAGTAGAGGAGAGAGAAAGTAGAGGAGAGAGAAAGTGGGGTTTTTCGGAACAGAGAGAGAGAGAGAGAGATGAAAATGAATATGAATATGAATATGAATATGAATATGAATATGAAGAAGAGAAGAAGAGAAGAAGAGAAGACGGTCACGTATTGCCCAAGCCAAAGAGTCTTTCTTTTCTTTGTATTGTTTGTTGGAGCCTTCTCAGAAGGCTCATGTGGAGTTTGACCGTGGAAAATATTTTGTCAAGTTTTTCTTTTTTCATTTTCAATTTTTTCTCTTGAAATATGTGTGTGTTTTTTGGTCAAAGCTCGTGTGTTTGACTGGATGGCGGCTTTTCTAACACTGAGATATCTTTTCCTTCTTTCACTCTCTTTTCCTTTGCCCTTTTATGAAGGGAAAAATCAAACAGTTACTGTGCTTAGCCACTAATTGGTAATTACCAATCGCTGGATTATGATTACCTTCTAGTTTTTGTTTGTTGTTTCTTAAAATTTCCGTTTGTGCAAATCTAATTCCTTAGATTAATTAGGAATAATTGGAGTTTAAGAAGAAACCAATAACGCAAAATAGACGCCGAACGTGTGTAATAATATTTCAAGGATTTATAAAGCATTTCCTAGAAATTATCACATGACTTTGTTTACTTAATTTGTTTAAGCTTGACTTGATTTGTTTTTACAATAAAACGACATTAGTTAATATCGGTGTTATAACAAAATAAAGCCTTGAAAATTATTTTACTCTAACGAAAAATTATGAACAGTGTTGGCATTCAAAATGAATATTTAGGCTTCGTTCATTTCACCGATTCGAGTTTTTAGTTTTATGTTTTTACAGTAAAAAACTCACAGAAAATATTCGAGTTTTTAGTTTTATGTTTTTACAGTAAAAAACTCACAAAAAATGTCATATCTAACTTTTTTTACTACAATAAAAAACTTTTAAAAAATATTATATCTCAACTCGAATTCACAGAATGAACGAACCCTTATAATAATTTTCTTTTGGGTCCAATGATACAGGTAAGGTGAAAAGACTTAAGAGGATGTCCCTCTAACCCCACTCTACAAGAAACGAAAGGGACTCAAGTATTCATGTTTCTAACTTATCAAAGCTTCAAAAGTACCCAAAACAAATTCAATCATATTGGACCAATTGATATTAATATAGATACTGAAATATGAAAATTCAAGAACCAAATTTCTTTTTTGAGTATTGATTAAACTTAACTTATGGGAATTTTATGAGCCATATGCATCTCATAAACCTTGACACAAAAATTTTACGCTTAAATTTTGTTTTTTTGGTCCATCCGTTTTACAGTTAATAAATTGACACATAGCTTCATGGTAAGTTAAAAATCGAATAGGGAAAATGGTTTTGTAGTTATGGCTAAAATTTAAGAAATATATTTAAAAGTACGATACCACCATTATCACAGATAAAAACACTCACATATTAAATTTCATATTATAAAATTTACTTTTTATTAATTAGTGGTGTTTAATAATACAGGCGTTCTATAATTTTATTATTCTATAACCTTGATATTTTGTTAACTACATATGGTATGTTGCCAAATTTGTCACTGTCAATTAAGACCTTTTGGATTTAAAGCTGGCCTGGCACTGGCAGGGATATTTGTGAGATTTTAATAAGAGTCTATCTAGAAGATCCATCTGTATTGTATGTCTAGCTCTCAGAACGTGTTAAAAGGGTATAATTATCAAAAAAAAAAAAAAAAGAAAAGTAAAAAGGGTATTGTCTCCTGTCCATGGAATCCACAAGTCCTCCAAATCCTCTTCGTGGGAAAAGATGCCATTACGTGGGAGCTCTTATGGGTACAACGTATTGGAATTTTGGATCTCCTCAGCCAGAGGAATGCAAGCGCTTTTTTGCAAGAGCGGAAAGTATTTGTCAAGAGCGATAGGGAGAAAAATAATGCCCAATATCTCAACAGAGGAAAAAGGGTTCTTTTGTTAAAGTCTTGCCTAATTAATTTGTTACGTATACCTAAAAATAGAACACCATATCTATGGGTTCTGTTTTTTTTTTTTTTTTTTTTTTTTTTTTTTTTTTTCCCAAATCTTCTTTCGGTGGCAGGAAAACTGGCGTTAAACCACATTAGTTGATCTGCACGTTCACCTATGAAAAGAATACCTTAAAAATATCTTTGTCAGCCATTATTATTATTTTATTCAGCCTGTGGTTCTATAGTTACCAATGACCAAGTCCAAGGATATGCATGGAATTTGATCATTTGAGTGGTTTCTTTTTTTTTTTTTTTTTTTTTTTTTTTTTTTTTTTTTTTTTTGTTAATAAGTGGAGGTTTCTATTGGGGTTGGTGAGGCCTTTTGTTTTCTTTCTTGGTTTGGCTGATACAGAAATTAACGTTTCTTTTTTTGCTTGACAGAATTTAACGTTTCTTAGTGCGGCACTTTCAATTTTTTGTTCCAGAAATACAATTAGTGAATACAAATGCCAAATTGTGACTGTCAATACAAATGCCAAATTGCTAACTCTTGTTCCCATTTTGCTTTCACAAAGACTTGGAACTCTGAAGTGAAGCTTTACTGGTTTAAACCAAATTTATGTTAGGTGACAGGTGATATCTACTATTTAGGGAAGAGAGAAGACTGCATTCCCTTTTAAGTCTTCTGTGACAACTCGTCGATCTTAACTTTTGTTTAACTTTTTGCTTATAAAATACCAACATCATTTTACCTTATTTTTATTGCGGGTTAATTTAATGTATGCCCAATAAACTTTTACGCTCATTTTTACGTTTGTCTTTTAGGCTCTGCCTTTTGAAAACTCCGACTTTATCTATTAAATTTGAAAATAATCTCATTTTAACCCTTTTTATTAGAATTTATATTAAAACGGACAGAAAAAATGAAAATTGAATGTGGTCATATAGTTTTTTCGTTTATTTTTAGCAGAAAGTCACTTGACTACACTGCCACATTTTTTTTATTAACAGAAACTCTAACATAGAAGTTAAACGAGGGTATTTAGGGCCCGTTTAGTTCACTGATTCGAGTTGAGATGTGATTTTATGTGAGTGCTTTTTACTGTAGCAAAAAAGTTAGATGTGATTGTTTCTGAGAGTTTTTTACTGTAACAAAACTCGAATTCTAAACTCGAATCAGCGAAATAAACGAGACCTTACACTTAAAAAAGTCAGGCCCTAAATGCAGTTCGAATCATTTTCTAATGGACGTAAGGGTATTTATGCCGTTTTAGGAAAATTAAAGTTAAACGGTTAACTTATATTCTTCTGTCATGAATTTAATTAACAATGGAGTGTCTTTATAAGTAATTTTCTCTTTTTGAAACTCAGGGGTGTTCAGTATTGATGAAGTAAGTTTCAATGTAAAAAGCCCTAGTGGGAAAAAAAACCAGGCAAAAAGAAAAAGAAAAGAATGGAGTTTCTTTGATAAAATATAAAAAAATAAACTATTGATAGTTTTTAATTTTTTAATTATTAAATTTATATTAAAAACTGTCTATTATATATATTTTTTTAATATAATATAATTTTAATTAAACTTAATAACTAGAAACTGATGTTATCAATAGAAACGCCTGGCTAAAAAGAGTGTAAGAAAAAAGACGACCTTGAGTACTAAAAAATGGTAATGTCTATGTAGAGGTGCAGGCGTTCTATGTACAGATGTTCTATAGATTCCCACCGTTGACTAAACAATGTTGAGGAGGAAACAAAAGAAGAGAGGAAGAAAAACAAATATGAAAGACAATGCAGTCCAAGTCAATATATTTGAATGGACTTTAGCCAATGCTAATCATCATGCTGAGAAGGCATATGAATGTGAATATTATTATTAAATATGAGAATTTTTATGGTAGAACATGATATTTTTGTTCTATTGGTAGACACAATTATTTTTAACTATTAGATTAGTTTTTTAAGGTTATATTTGTACTGGTTTGTATTAAAAATTTATAGCACGCCATACAGAATTACTCCTATTGTAAATCTGACCATTGAAAAATTAATTTAACGGTAAAAACATTGTTCCCACCAGTAGAGTAAAATAGCTTATTCTACTGTTAATGTATTGCCTTTTGTTATGTTTTTCTCTTGCACAACTACTTTATGCCATGGCTTTTCAGTATATTTATCATGGGATTTTCACTGGTAATCTGCCATATAAGTAGTCTTCATTTTTTACTATTAGATCTAATTAAAATTGTATCAGATTGAAAAAATATATATAACAGATAAAATTTGATACAAATGTAACGGTTGAAAAATAAAAGACTACCAAAAAATCATTTTTACAGAAGTCCCATTTATCATATCAAGTATCACTTCCTTTCGTTTTTTTCTTCCCTTTTTTTCGCTAAAGAACTAAAATAAGTATTTTTAGCTGAGAAATGGGTTTGACTGAAATAAAAAATATGTCAAAATCATATATATATACAGTCTTGAGACTTGAGAGCTAAGACTGAACTCTCTAGTGTCAAACTCTGTTATATTCTTTTGTGTTTTCCCTCTTTCCAAACAAACTTTTTAATTTAATAATACTCCAGGCTGCAGACACTTGCCAAACTAAACATAAAGGTCTCATTTGATCCTTTGAACATTCAGTGCAAAAGTTTACTCACTAATGAATCTATGTTTCTACTTTTTGCAGTCTGCAGATTTACCCCAAAAAAAAAAGTAGCTCACATGATGAAGCTGACTCGGCCAAAATGCAGGTCCAATATGCCAATAATATTAGAGGCTACACCCTCGTCAGATTCAGGAAATGTTTTCGATATGCCAACAATTAGTTTTAGCGCACTTAAATAAAGCCGAATTCCTTAATTGGCACACGTCAAAAAAAAAAAATCCCTCCAATGGCAAAGACTACTTGAGATCTTCCCATTTGATCAGAAGGCTTGAGAAAAATATGACATCCTTTGATCTTCATCGCTGACCAACGATGTAGAAAAAGAAGTGAAAAAAAGAAGGAAACAGTACGTACCACATTTTAAAGTCAAACACATGTAAATTAGTAATCAAATACAAGCTATATTCAAGTGTTTATTATTTAACATAAACGAAGAATTTGGCAAGAAAGTACACGGCTTATTTTAGTAACACTTTCATTTTCTGTTTTTATGAAGCTTCAGAACGCCTTCCCAAGTGCAGTTGCCATCCCTTGGGATCTATTTCTACCTGAAAAACACACATAACTTTGCTTTAGTCTGTTGGCAAAATGAACACAGAAGATAAAATCAGTAAAAAGGGAAAGAAAGAGAGAGAGGAAGTTTTACCTCGAATGCTTTTTCTCTCCAATGGAACACACAGCCGCGAGCCTCCATATATTTGAAGATATGTTTAGGCAATAATGGTCTAAACGATGTATGAAGTTTGACTTTTGTTAAGCCTCCACATGTTAACAGGGCAGCAGCTAGGCCATTTGGGGTCAGCCCTGCCAAGTGAAGGATTGTCATGTTCTGCAGGCGGTTGATGCGGGTTACAGATAATAGGCCGACGTCTGTAACCGAACAATATGACAAGTTTATCTGCAACATGAAGAAATGAGATCTTTATTCTTAGTTTGAAAGAATCAAAACCACCAAAATTTTCAAGACATTGAAATGAGAATGGACTGGAGATGTACCTGTTTGAGATTTTGAGAGAATTGAGCAAGTGGGTGCATTGCGCTATCATTGATGTTGAAGCACTTCTTGATGTCCAGCACAGTGAGTTGCCGGCATCCAATCGCAATGGCTGATAGACCCTCAGAGGAGATGCAGGGACACCCTCGAATTTCGAGCACCTTTAGACTAGAGCATTTTGATAAGGACGTGAGCGACAAGTCTGTGATTTTGCTGTTGTAAGCAATGTTAATCATCTCCAGAGCAGTGCAGCCACGAGCAATTGCTCCAATGCCCATGTCACTTACTCCCGAACACCTGCCAATAACATTTGGAATGAAACTGGAGTCATTTTGGGAAGATTGGAACTAGGGATTAAATTTCCCAACTAACTCAAAGAGGTCCTAACAGTATAGAAATATAAAGAATTTGATACGGACAAACCTGTAAAGATCAAGCTCTTTCAGCTTCGAACAACCATTCCCAACATGTACAAGTCCATCATCAGTTATGTTTAAGCATATCCCCAGCTTTAGACTCCGAAGTTTAGAACATCTTGAGATGGCCTTCAAACCTTATCACACCAAGTAACCGAAATCATTATAGAGCAACCAACTATAAATGTCATACAGACGAGAGTTTGAGTTTAGACTTAAACCTTCATTGTCGATTTCATTATCCGTGACATCCAATTCCTCCAATAATCTGCAGCGCTGTCCAATCAACACAAAGGCATTTTTTGGAATCAGGCTGCAAGATTCCATCTTGAGGGAAGTAAGGGAGGTACATGAATTTGTCATACCATCTATTGAGGCGCAAGCTATCTTTCGACAGCAAGTGATGTTTAGCTTCTTCAATTCTTTGTGTCTCTGAGCCAGGAAGATGAGACACTCGTCAGTAAGTCCCGAGCACTTACTGAAGCTCAGCTCAACTAGAGAGGCGTTCCAGTTTCCAATGGCATTGATCCCGGAACATGTAACCAAACAACCATCTAGTCTAATCGACCGCAACCCGGAAAATTGGTTGAGGCATTTTGCCAGATCAGTGGTGACCTGAACCACAATTGAAGTTGCAACTGAGCCAAATGAGAGTACATCAATTGTACAAAACAAACTCTAGACACAAGACATCACACTTACCGCTGGGCCATTTGCTAAGACAAGCTGTTCTAGAGATTCAGCGCCATTAGTCAAAGAAGACAAACCAACGTGACTGAGATTCTGACAATTCGATACATCAATCATCTGTGGAAAATCCAAATTCAAGAGATTATAATCACAAATATAAACAATGGTGAAATTAAACAAGGTTAACTAGGGTGCCTATTTTATCACCCGAGTAAACTGAATGTGTTCCTCTTTACAATTTAATGGTATACAAACAGTTGAAGAAGTACATCATAATTTCACGTGTGTTTGATAATTTAATATATCAAAAATTATGAACTTGCTAAAACTAAAGCACCTTAATTGACTTGCAAGTATGTGTGAGTGTTGCGAGGCCATCATCGTCAATCCCATGGCATCCTTCAAGAACCAAATCCTCCAAATGTTGCAGTTGCAATATAGGAGGAAGGCATTTCTCAGTAATCTACGCTACAAAAAGCATAGGTAAGTATTCTGGTTTACAAGATTTCAAGAATATATCTCTGCATATACAGACGAATCCAAATCTGTGGTCCCTTTCTAACCGTCCTCTACTTTTTTGACATGTCATCTAAATTCAACAATCTGACTACATAAATGAGAACTCAATAATAGAAATGCTCAAACAATTAGGTGAAGTGTCAAAATTTAGTTAGAGGGGCAGCAAAAAGGAGGACAGAAGGAGATAAAAATTACTCAACTATAATCTAGTTCATGTTTACCCTGTCTTATGAATACTTTCCGTACAACTTGAATCTCTAAGAATAATTTTTAATCACTAAAATAAATAAAATGGTGTGACCAAGGACTTGGCAACATTCGTTGACTTATGATTTATTATACCATTTACCCATTAGTAGAACCATCCACTCCACTATCTATTATGATCAAGAAACAGGCCAACGGATTGAGGCAAGTCAGCATACGCCATCACATATTCCACCAGAAAAGTACATAAACCGTTTACTAATCCATGTTGTGTATAAGACGACCAATGAAGAATCTGATACTCAAATAGCACAAAACAAATTTGCAAAAAGTTCCATAACAATCGTTATATTGGACTGGTGACCATGCATCCCACTACAAAAAAAGAATAATAACAAAAAAAAGCGTCATAAAATTCAACCATTCAGCCAAAAAAAAAAAAAAAAAAAGTATTCTAACGCACTAAACAACCCAAATTACCTAAACCACAGAACCTGAATCTCAATCTCACACCATAGTTATGCATATCAATCCCAATTAGAACTTGAAAAATTTTGGTCCCAATCGCTGGTAAAATAAAAAGAAATCAGCAAATTGCTTTACAAACATACAAAACATAGCAAAAACCAAGCTACCAAAACCATTTCTCAGTTTTCTTAGCTACCAAACAGAAAAAATGGAAGTTCAAATCATAATAAAAAAAAATAAAAAAAAAAAGAGTGTACCGGTACGTAAGAAAGATCCAAGCTTCGAATCTCCTTGCATTTCATAGCAATCAAACCAACTCCCAAATCCGTAATCCTCAAGCACCATCTCAGACAAACATACTTCAATTTCCTACACCCAACGGCTACACATCCGATTCCAATATCAGTCACCGATCTACACCTCCCCAATCTCAGCCTCTCCAGATTCTTCGCCTCCGCGATCGCCTTCGCCGCCATGTCCGTCAGCTCCGTCGCGTTCGACAGGTCGATCTCGACCAACCCGGAGCAATTCGCCTTTGCGGGGCGGGGTTGGCCAGCCCGGCGGCGGTGAAGGACCTGGAGCGGGAGAGGTCGACAGAACGCAGCGTCGTTTTCCAGGCGACGGAGACGGCGGCGAGGGCGGCGTCGTCGACGAGGGGGCAGAGGGAGAGGTCGAGGAGGGAGATGGATGGGTAGCGGTGGAAGGTCCGGTGGAGGAGGTCGGAGCGGAGGGGGCGGAGGGACCGCCGGTGACGGGACTCGACGAAGTAGAAGGACTTGCAGACGGCGGAGAAGGATCGCCGGGCGAAAGCGTCGTCGTTTAGGTGGTCCAGGATGGCGAACACGATCTCGTCGCTGAAGATGTCGAACGGGTTCGTCGTGGTGTCGTTGGTGGTCTTTTGCTTTTTCATTTTCGGTTTTTTATTTTTTTTGTTCAACTGTTTAACGGAAAAGAGTGAATTTTTCAGCTGAGAGAGTTCGGTTCTGTTGTATGTACAAGATAGAGAGAGAGTGGGGAAGAAGAAGAAGGGAGGAGGCGATTTGTGCAATTACGAACTTGGCCTTTATCGCTTTTGTCGTTTTTTGAATAATATTGGGAGAATTGTTTTGGTTTTTGTCAGCGTAGAATGACTGAATTGCCATTATGCTAAGCCAGCTGAAGCTATAGTGTGATGTCTATGAATGATTAGGGTCTCAGTCATCTGATTTAAATTTTTAATTTTAATTTGTTATAAGTAAAATTTTTCATAAAAAATTATATTTTATTTTTTTTGTTATAATTAAAAATTCTTATAAAAATTATATATCAATTCGAATTAAAAATTTAAATTGAAGAACTGAATAAAATCGGAATATCGGAAAATTTTGTGAAGAATATATTAGATGTGTATAATTTTTGTATTTATACGAAGTCTTAAAATAATTTCCATGCCTTTATGTGTTGAATAATAAGTAAAAGTAAAATACTTCATCGTAATAAAAATATATATTACGTTTTTGAAAGAAAGAAACTCAAGTATCACTTCCTATAAAACTCATTTATTGTTGATATTAGACATTATTTTATATTGAATATCTTTTTTCAGGAAATATACATAGAATATACAAAATCTAAGGCTTCGGCGAAAGACTCCAATAACGTAGTAGAGCTTTGAACATTTCTTTAAAAAAAGTTTTAGTCGTCTTACTTCGTTTATGGTAGGGACAAATACGTTTAGTTTATAAATTTAGAGTCATGATTTAAAATTATTCTCGATTTACGCGTATTTTTTAAGAGAAAATACTGTAGCGAATCACGAACTATGATCCGAATCCACCAACCAAATGCAAGTAGCCGCCCCCACTAAGATTTTGAAAAATGAGATTTCAGTCTTTGAAAATTTTTTACTTTTTTATTTTGCCCCCACTGAGATTTAATATTCTCACATATGCCCCCACTAAATTTTACCCTCTTTATTTTATAAACAACTATAATCATTTTACTCACGAGTCAACTTTTTCTATATATATTTTAATTTTATGTGATGCATTTTGTGTTTGGTAATGGTGTCTTAGAAGCATGAGATGTAATATGATATTTATTATTTATTTAATAAAAGAATTTATTACTTATTTTATGTGTATATATTATTGAATATTTTATGAATATCATTGAAAATTCCATGATTATTTATGTGACCTTAAATATTGTATATAAACTTTATATGCGAGAGGATGATATTTAAGAATAATAATCAAAATAATGTTCATAATGAATTAAATTAAAGTTTAGAATCTGTAATTAAAACATTACTAATACATATCATTTCCATTTAGAATGGAATTGTGTTATCCGCACTATTAATATGATGAGATATTGAATGAGTGTATTACGCGTAATAAGATTATTTGGAACAGGAGCACAACACAATATGAATTTTTGATAATTTTCGTTAAGTATCAAAATTCTAATTGAGTCTACCGATGGTCATATATAGAGCAATCTTAATCCTGAGTTATTAGCAGACTCCTATTTATGGATTTGTGTCTTTTGATTTACTCAGTACAGATTCTGGGATGTTAAATCATATTCTTTGTATTTTGGAGACATGCTAAAGTGAGTAGCCGGAAATATTATTATACAAGATGGAATCTATTCCTTCTTGAGAAAGAAGTAGATAAATAATTTTCTTGAGGATTGATTCGGTACTTAGATTAGTAAGAGCTTCGATTCATGAATTTATTTTATGAATCACTGTCCATTAGAGAATCAATGGTACTTAAGGATAAAGATGTAATTGGAGAAGTTAACGGATTTCACTTAGCTCTAATTATAAATTATTTATGAATGATTGATCTATATGTAATGGTTATATCAAATGGACACTTTACAGTTTAGAAGTAAATTATATCTATAATTATGAGAGTACAATTCCAAGTTTATAGTGAGTAACTTTTGGAATTAATTAATTAAAGAGTTTTTATGAATTATTAATTTTATTAGAGTTCAGAATTATAGGTCTATGAGTCCACACGTCGTCTTTGTAATCTTACAAGACATTAAGGGTAAAATGGGAATTTTAGAATTGTGAAATTCTAAATAGAACGCTTAAGAATAATTAATTGAGAATTAATGATAAATTAAATAATGTGATTATTTAAATTTAAATTTTAGAACATACATGTGGAGGAGTCTACATGGTGTACACGCCCAGCACTGTGAGAATCTCTCTCGGATTCAGTTGCTTACTTTCTAAGTTATCTAATTAGAATTCAAATTAAATTAAGTTTGACTTTAATTGAAATTTGAATTTGAGTCAAAATTGGACTGTAGGATAAAGAAGAATTTTTTTTCTCCTTCCCTATATGTAATATGCGCCAACCACAGGGAGAATATTCCTGTAGTAGCTGGCCCCTGTGGATAAAAGTGATAGAGAATTTTGTTTTCAAAATAAAATAAAAGTGAGAGATAATTATCAAGCTTTTTATGGGAGTATGACAGCTACTCTATAAATAGGAGATTGCGGAAAATTAGAGAACATAATTTTTGCTCTCCCTAGCATTTAGTGGCCAGTTATATAGAGTGGGGAAAAGTAAAATTTTCTCTCAAATTTCATGTCATGCATGTATTGGTGTTCGTAGAAAACTTGAGTATTTGAGTGCTAATCCCATTTTATTTCAGGTGTTCCTACACACACTTCTTCATAGATTCAAGCAATTGACGAGGAAGATTCGAGTATTCTAAACAAGCTTGGAGCGAGGAACGCTCATGGTCAAATAACTCAAGTTATCGTCATAATCGTTCGTTAGGTAAATTTATTCATAAATTAATTTGATTAATTTATTCGTGCATAAATTAATGTATTATATAAAGTATCTCAAAAGTTTATTAAAATTTTTGTTATAGACGATCCGCTAAATACACACTTTTCACATAGAAAATCATTTTTAAAATCAATATTTTGAAGTTAAAAAAATAAGAATGTTATATTTTGGACTGTATCATATTTATAATTTCACATTTCAAATTCATGTTATGTCCTTACTTCTTTTTTTAGGTCAAAGGTTTAATTTTAATTATAAGAATTACAAAAATATCTTTTATATTTTTTGATTTCTATTCTTTCCTTATTCGTTATATTTTTACTAATTCATGTGTTTTAATCTTTTATAGTCAAAATGAACCGATGACCGAGAAAAGATACTAATTAACGAATATGTTATGCATTCTAAAATAAAGGCCTAATGTGTGTGCCTGTGGACATGAATGCCAGACCGGAAATCCCGCTCCGTGCGAGCTACATTTTGAGATTTTTCTTTTTATTTTTCCCATCAGAAATCCGAAACTGCTGCATTAGTTTTTGTTTAACTTGTTGGTCTCTGAATCGAATTCGGATGCGGAAGCGTAGTGGTGCGGGGGAGGTGGATCGTGTATAACAAAAATTTTCATAAAACTTTTGAGATACTCTATAGATTATATTAATTTATGCACGAATAAATTAATCTCATTAATTCATTTATTAAGAACTCAATCAGGAAAAATACCTGGAAGCCGACTCGGATGATAACTTGAGTTCTTTGACCACGAACAGTCCTTGCTCCAATCTTTGTGTTTAGAAAACCAATGTCTTCCACGTCAATTCCTAGAATCCACGAAGACGTGTGTGTGGGCACATATGAGACAAAACGGGTTACAATAAACACCCGAATTTCCACAAACACCATCGCATGCACGATGTGGAATTTTTGGAGAAAAAATTTTCCTTCCTCTCTCTCTTGAGAATTTCAGCCAGCCTATCAAAAATAGGGCAGAAAAATTGTTTTCAAAAATTGTCTTCATAATTTTCTATCATTCTCATATTTATAGAGTAGAAGTCAAACTTCTAGAAGGAATCTAATCTCTATCTCTAAGATAAAGCTTGTTAATTATCTCCTGTTTGAATTTAGAACAAAATATCCTCTTATCCTTATCCATTGTGACCGGCCACCTTAAGGGGATTCTCATCCCTGTGTGGCGCCAATATCAGATAGGGAAGGAAGAGAAAATCATTCTTTATCCTGTAGTCCAATTTTGACTCAAATTTAAATTCCAATTTAAGTCAAACTTAAATTAATTTGAATTCTAAATTGAACAACTTATCAAATA